ATGAGCACAAATTACTTAGAATTCTTCCCTTTCTTCTCGGAGCTGAAATGCAAGGTAAATGGGAAGGTAGTACACACGGAGAGCAGACAGGGAAGACTTTTTGTTATGAGCTAATCAGCAGCCCTTTGATGCGAGACGTGGAGGTGATTGCAATCCTCCAGAGATGGTGTGTTATGTAACAAGTGCGGTAAATTGAGCTTTTATTGATCCATATTCAAAAGGGCTTGGTTTAAGTCTGGCTCGGTCTGTTCTCTTACAGTCCACCTCGTCAACTTTCGTGCTGTTATGGATATATGGTAAGACATGGACCATTTGTTAGCTTGAAGAAGATTGAAGAGATATTGATTCTGTATCATTCAGAAGGGTTAAAACATGCATATTTCAAAGGTATCCAGGAAATACCAAGACCTGCTCTGTATGAGGGTAAAGTAGAGGATGCACTGAATTTGGAGTCAAACAATTGGTGGGTGCAACTGTATCTAGACAGTCTCTCAATATTGTCACTTAATTTGGACTTTGATCAAAAAATGCACCAGTTTTCCTTTGATGATGTGAGTAAGTGGAACAGAGAGTCACTGAACCCATGCAAGCAGATGCTAGTGGGGCTTCCTGTTTCAGGAAGTTGGAGTCAATTTTGGTACTGTGACTTTGGAGTTTTTTAAGAAACATGTATGTAAACGATGACCTCATGTATCCATCTCCCCGAAGATGAAAGCAGTCCATTACTTTATCAAGCACTTGTTTTCTTTGCCCTCCATGCCTGCTCTTGTACCGTACTTCTGCTTGTTTTCTTTCAGGATGCAGCTATGTAACTCAAGCATACAGCAACCATCAATACATCCCAAACGAGAGATCAGTCCTACCCTCTCACGAAGATTGAATGATCAGCGGTTAGTCTTCTTGACAGTGGGGCTTGATTGAAAAGAGCGCTCACTCAGTGCCGACCTCGCTCTTCGAAAAGATTTTGAACGACGTTAATGAGAGGGTGTCGGTTTGCGACTTAAATTTCTGTCCTCATTGTTAGTCTGACACAAACATTGCAAAATGAAGGGTCTTAACTATTGAGGCTATCATTATCACCGGTTAGCACGATTAGCTTGACACGCAATATACACTATATACCAGTGGCGGCCGTGTATTTTATACCTGGGCCTTCAGTGCTGTCCGACTACAGTTCGACCACCTCCTAATTACCTCATTATGACGCCAGCATGACGGGATGCTGTGTCATTAACAGGCAATGCATATAGTCAAAATTTGTCTGTAGCATGTTCACACTGGAAGAATGGCCTCATAAAGTCACGGTACACCCGCACGGATGCGTTCAATTATTTTGGCTCAATAAACTTCCTCTCAGTACAGTGTGAGCTTGATTGATCTCACTTTTACCTTGTTGTTAGCATGTGCTCTGTATTTGGAGGCATTCTCTAGATGAGGACATCTGCTCCACCGTCCTTTACATTGACACTTGGTATTAATAAGCGTTCTTGTTATATCTCAGGATCTATGGAGCCGCAGAGCTCATGTCTGCCAGCGGGGCCTCTAGTGTGTTAATTCTTTAGTGGAATCATTTAAATGTATAAAATCATTTAAATATAGTATTCAAATGTGCACCTTTTTTGTGTTGTTATTTCCTAACATTGTAACATGCAATCATAGTTCCACTGTGTATTGCAAATGTGTACAGGACTCGTCACTTGTATTTTGATAAAAGCATTATGTTAATAAGAGCTTTATTTCAGAGGTATGGATGATAAGTGTCCGTCGTCTCCGAGGGCTACAAAGACTAAGAGGGCATGCAGTTGCACAAAAATGCACACATCTAAACGAACATGCACGGCTGCTCTCTGTGAGCTGTATTAATGCAACAGCTATAGTGTGAAATGTCCTTGAAAGAACAAAGCCTGAAAGATTAAGTATGTTGTGAGGGAACACATGAGCTTCACTCGTGTGCTCCAGGGGTATTCTCATCCTTTTTATTCCAGAATTTATTCAGTGGTTCTCTTTCACCGTGTATCGTTCCACACACCTTACTGGAAGGAACAAGGACAAGAATGCGGGCTGTCACACACGGGATCCCGGCCGTATCAAATGACTTGGATGCCATAGCTATTTGTATCTTCATATAGGAGGAATCAGATGGAGGAAAAAAAAACCTCTCCTAAAAGGATCAAACTAGGACACATTCACACAACTTTCAGGCTTAATCTATCAAATAAATGAGGAATAGGACATATTTTGTCTTAGCTGTCACACCTGAGAGTAAGACTTAATAAACGGTGTGCATCCAAGCCCTCTGCATCTCAGCATTAGCTGTAATGTTTCAGTATCTTATTTTGACAGTCTGAAGACTTCACTCTGTGTTTATTGTGAGGCTTCCTACAGGCGGTGCCTTCAGACAAACAGGTTCATCTTTCCCTCACAGTCCCATTCGACAGTCTCGGTCTGCGACTGGGGCATCAGTGCGGGCACATATGGCTCTACAGCGTTTATTGATCTTTGTTCTCATTCATGCCTTTCAACACTTCTATATCTCCTGCTGTAACCATAACATTTCAAGACACCGCCTCCTCGAGCACTCAGTCTTCCCGCTGGGCTATTCATGTATTGATCTCTTTAAAGCAACAGCCGTTATATCAAGCAGCCTTCCAAGAGTCTGGATTAACACTGAATGATGGACGAGTTTGTACTCTGAAAACCTTGGTGGAAAACTTCGGAGGAGAATAACAAGACAGCGTCCGTGTTGGAAATGTTTAAGTCGCCGATGCTCTCTGATCTGCTATATGATGTTCACGGTTCAGAGGAGGGATGAAGTGTCTAATTAATACTTACAGACATAATAGGATGTTCAGTGTTTGAACCACTAATGCTTTCTCTGTAGCTGTGACCCACAAACACATACTCTGTAAACAGTACAAGTAATATGTACTCGAGTACTGTAATTAGGTACAATTTTGAGGCACTATACTAATACTTGACAAAATTTCAGAGGTAAATATGGTTTTCTTTTTTTACTATATTTATGAAACAACTATAATATACGCTTTTCTGATTTAGATTTTCAAACGCAACTTATAAATTATAAAATATGATGCAAGATTAAACTACCCAACAGTATATACATCTTCTTACATGCATCATGATCCATTAATACAAACAAAATATACTGACAGGGATCATTCTGCAATATAATATATTTACTTGATGCCCTTGAGGTGCATTTTGTTGCCAATACTTATGTACATTTTCTTAAGCACACATTAAAATGCAGGACATTTACTTATAATGGATTTTTGAAGTGTGGTATTACTGCTTTCACTTAAGTAAATCTGACTTTGCTCTCACGCTGAACTAAATAAAAACATGCTGCAGGCTGTGAAGAAATGTTTCTTTGTTAAAACCAATTGGGGGGGCATCTTATAACGTGTATGAAATAGCGTTGTAGAGTAAATGTAACTGCGTATAGAGACAGAAATTCAACACACAGAAGTCTACGGGAACTGTGCCACGACTGTCACCAACAGCACTGATCCTTGTGCACATCAGCTCTTGGGGCAATTAATCCTAAACCAACACCCTGTTACCGTAACGTTAGGTAACAGGGTCATCAGTGCTCCACATAAAAACCCCCTGTTTGTTGACAGAATCTGGCTTTTATCTCCTCTTTCCATTCCTCTATTCCACCCTCTTCCCTCTCCCTCCACGTCCCATTTAGCCATCCTTTCGAGCTGTTTGTCGGTCAGTCAGTTTCTTATCTTGTTTCTTTTTTCTTTTTTTTGTGTCTGTGCACCCTGCTCTTGTGTATGACATAACCATCTGTGGCCGCTCACCTGACAACGACCACCAGGCAGTCAGTGATAATGTAAACCTCTCTGAGAGGAGATAACAGCCCACTGGGATAATTGGCCCCACACACACACACACACACACACACACACACACGAAGCCATGGGCACACAGTGAGACACTTCTCAGTTACCATGGGAACTTGACCTGAAGCCCCTGTGTACACTCTCTCGCACACACTCGTGCATCTCAGTGAATAGTCACCCCCCAATGTGTACTTTGCCCAGATGAGGTGCTCGCAGGAGAAGTAAACTTCAAACATGAGCGGTGATGTAACAAGGCAGCAGGGCCACTTGCAGAAACAAGACCCATGTTGGGTAACGGAGAAGACCCTGCCACTCTGTTACAACACCAACATAATTATGTAAAGATGGAGCAAGACATCCAAACAGCAAACATTTTGGCAATGAGAAATGCTGTGTGGTTGCAGATGTTTATTCAGTTTGTGTATTGTTGAACACAGTCTGGCAGTATGCTTTATTGCAACATGTTGAACTCTATCGAACAGTATTTACGCAAACTCTCATAATGAAGCAACGTATATATTGAGCAGTGGAAAGGTTCTCAGAGTTGACTTATCAGTAACTTGGACCCTGCAGCCCAGCATCAATGTGAAAAGCAGTGTGGACTCTTTATTTGCCTGGAGGATGATTGGTAAGTGTGTAACTTGTTCCCTCTTGTGGTAAGAAGTGCATGCTACAAGTACAGAGGGAGACGGTGATGCAGTGTGTTGTTTTATTAAAATATGACACTCTGATGTGCAGAAGAAAATATTCTTCTTCTTGTATTATTTGTTGGATTATGATTGTATGGGCATTCTATGTTAAATGATGATAGACATTTATTAGATCATGTTTTATTCAGTCCTTGCTTTTCGATGTGTTATGTGACGAGTAGTTTAAATGTGTCTTTTTGTGCTGTCACCATGTCAACTGTTTGGACCCCAGGGAAATTAGCTGCTGCGATGCAAAAGCTAATAAGGGTCTTGACAAAGAAACAAACATTTTCATCAGCACATGGAGTTTGCGCATTTTCAATACAGTAGTTGAAGATGCTCAAATATCCTTTTTTTTTTCTGACCATTTTGAGGACTTTTTTCCACGTTGGCTTGGCTCAAAACCATGAATCTAACAAAAAAAAGCCCCCGAACGGACTGAGATGAGAATCACTGAGATGTGATTGTTTTATTTTCTACAGAAGTAGAGCTTCATTCTACAACTTAAAGCCTCTTGCATTACATTCAAATGTTGATCTCAAAAACATCACTTTCTCTTTCATCACTCAGTTCCGTCTTTTACTTCAGGTTCTAAGGACTGATGTTTTAGCATGCTGCCTTCTTTAGGTTGCAGTCCTTTACCTTTGCGTTTATACATTTGGCAGATGCCTTTGTTCAAAGTGACGTACAAATGAGGTACAATAAAGGCCACAGTAAAACGAAGGAGAAGCCTTCATCACATCATAACATGAATAAAAAACTAAAAATGATCTCCAGTCTGTTATTTTCATAGAGAAAACAACCATAAATCATTTCATTGGTAAATGTTCTTTATTTCTCTTTAATTAAAGGCTCTATTGTAAAAGCTTACACCAGGTTCACTTATAGGATTTATTGTTGTAAATGTTTAAGTCAGCGTCATTCTTTTGAGAATCACAACATGGAAACAAAAATCAATAAAGTGTTCACATTAGTACATCCTGTTATAGATTATCAGAAAGCTCCCTTTAAGGCTCATCAAGAGTCCGTTTAAAAATGTAGACATTTTGATTAATCCAGTCATCATCACTGTTAGTGAAAGCGTTATTTAGTCTTGTGATAATATATGCAAATAGATTTAATGTGCAATATTTGGTAGGTGTAGATCAAAAACAATATTTCACAAAATAATCATCTGTGGGATTATTTCTCAAATTGTGAGAGATCATTATTCCACAATCACCGTGTGTGTGTGCACGTGTGAATCCTTGTGCACTGGAGTAGTCAAGGTGATGTCAAAGTCATCAGAGCCCCAGTGGGCTCTCAGCCGCAGCAACGTCTTGCTGAAAGTTGAACCTGCCCCTGTGGTGGCAACGATTTAGTGACACCATTAGCAGAGAGTCATTCGGTCTAGAGAAGCCTCTTAAGTGTCTTCTCAAGAGGGCTGGTTGAATATGGGGAACCGGGACAAATGATCTGCTGCAGTAAACCAACCCTTTATATGCACCCATTTAGCCCTCCATGGACAACAGCCACAGTCACATCCCACACTGACCACAGCTAGCTCACCAGAGGGCAGCATCCATCCACGATTGCGTTACTGAGAGCTCATGTGCCCAGATATTTTGCACACAAAGGCTTCTGTGTGTTTGAGGGGAATTCATGGGCAGAGCCCATCTTTTGAGGTCTGTATTCTGTTCAAGACGGACAGATTTGTCTTTCACAGTGCTAGTGCAGAAAGTGTGCATTCACATAGTACAGACAACCATCCTGAGGACACACGGTGGACACGCCTGTCAGCAGACATCTTCATCTCACTCTCACAGAAATAAATCTTGAGGCAAAATTGAACCAGTAGCCAGAAGTAGTCATGGTCATTTGTAGAGTGTTTTGCTACCGTGTGTGTGTGTGTGTGTGTGTGTGTGTGTGTTTGGGAGTAATGAAGCCACCAAGCTCTGCTCACTTATCGTGACTCTCTATTGAAACAAAACTACCAAAGGTATTTTCATACAACTTCTGAGCAGTCTGTAATTTACTTATCCACTTTAGTCTAGAGCTAAAAGAACCATGCAGGATGACTCATTTAAAAAAAACACAAATCTCAGTACCTCATTGTTCCTAATCAATGTTAACCATCGCTTCACCCTGATATCTTATCACACTCTATTATGTGGATGTACTTTAGCAAATCCATTAATTCAGTGTGGCAACAAGTAAGACTGAAAAACACAAAAAAACGTCCACATGGGTCCGAGTGATCCAACTCCATTCCTGCCCTGGTGTGAAGGTGCCTGTGATGTACCGCTAGCCAGGGACTTTGGATTCGATACCAAAGTGCTCGCAATATATCGACCAGATTTGGTGCTCATCAAGGAACAGTTGTAGGGCCCATGTGAACTTTTCCATTCCAGGTAACTTCGAATAGTCAGCCAACCCCCTTCTTCCACTTGTTTAGAGGTGTGTTGCTCCACAGACCCGTCTGAGAGGTTGTGGGAGCCGTGAAACCAGTGCACATCTCCGTCGGGGTAGACATTTTTGAAGGTGCAGGTGAGTCGGTCCGTTGTCCAAACACCCTCAGTGATCCCACAGCACTCTGTGGGGGTAAACCATGAGAAGAGTTTTGAAATTAGCTCCAATGATGCCCTTTTTGATATGTAGTGTTTTCGTTTAGCATGTGAAACCATGAAAGATTCCCCCCCACTCCCCCCCCCC